TTCTCACCATCATCATCTCTATCACCCCACAACCTCCTTTATCACTTTCATTCTCTATCTCTATTCACTGTTATCACTCTTTTCATCTCTTTCACTCTCTACTCTCTCATCATCATTATTATCATCATCTCTACTTCTTCTACTACTCTCTTTCACTCTGTATCATCTCTATCATCATTATCAGATTAATCAGAGCTGTACAGACTGCAGAGTCAGCTATTCAATCTCATTCATGAATTCAAAGAGATGTATATGACATCATATGAGATTTTATTACAGAGTATTTAGCAGTATATACTATAAACACAGAGATCAAAATGTGATAGAGATAGTAAGAGAGAAGTAGAGATAGTGAAAGTAATAGAAGAGACTGTAGAGTAGTAGAGATAATGATGATAATAAAGAGACTAGAGAGTGAAAAAGATGACAGAGAGAGATGATAGAGATGATAGAAGTGAGAGAGATAATAGAGATGGTAAGAGAGAGATAGAATAATAAGATAAGAATAGAGATAGAGAGTGAAAGTGATAGAGGGTGCTGTGAGGCAGTAGAGGCAGTGGTGATGATAGAGAGAGTAGAGGTGGTAGAGGTGGTAGAGGTGGTAAGAGTGAGTGATAAGATGGGGATAGGGGTATGAAGTGGAAGTGATAGGGGGTGTTACGGGGCGTTAGAGGCGGTGGTGATGATATAGAGTGATGCAATTGGCAGGCGCCACTACATATCCATGGATTTTTGATGGGGTGCATGTGATGTCATGTGAGGTCACGTTACAGGGCATTTTACTCGGAAAAGTTGGTTTTTCTATAATATATAGAGAGATATATCAGCAATTCTCTTTTATTTTCACTTTATAATAAGTAATTTATAAATATCAACGTATATAACAGACTGTATATTATACAAATATTTATAAATATACTATGTATTTTATTTTAAAATAATATTTCATATAGTTTGATAGTTTAATAATTATAAATTATTTTTTCAACAAAAATTGAAATACTACGCTCAGTATATATATATTCTTTTTTAGAATAATCTTTAGAAAATATTCATTGAGATATTGATATTTGAAGTTGATTGAAATAGGTTTACAGAGGTGTGGAAATAGGTTGTTGGGTGGTTGATTATGTTAACTTACGTAAGGCAAAAATTGATTTAATTTGCGTGTACACATGCACGCACGCCAACCTTAAAATTTTGAATTAATCTAAATATTGGAAAAGAAAAAGAAAATTTGCAAATTACTAGCAATTGAATAGCGCGGATCGAGCCCAAGTCCTTCACCCGGACATCATATAGTTGGCTCCGAGTTAAATACTTCATGATCAGCACTAATCATCATGTCGAACCTTTGGAGGTACACTAGTCCGTTGCGTGGCTAGAATTCAATTAGTCTACACTGTAACATGGATTTTTGATTTTTTGGTGTTTGGAAAAGCATTCACTTACAGGAGAGAACTGGCGGAGTTTCACTCCAGCTTCTTGCAAAATTGATGCGGTCTAAGGAAAATTAGCACGGTATCTCTAGGTGTATGAATGGTAACACTAGCACTAACCTCCTTATCCATGTTATAGCTCTGCGAGTAGACCACTTCGGATATTCCAAGCTGAGCAATTTTTACACTGCAAGTGAGGCAGGGACAGCTGTAGGAAAGGCATAGTCAGTTTTCATTTTCTGAAATACTTAGTGATGCAAAGCCTTAGGAAGAACTGACGTATTGCAATATAATATAGCACCCTCCCCTATTCGTTCACGTCCTGCCTCCAATAGAGCATTTTCTTCTGCGTGGATACAAAGACAGGTAGAGAGCGCAGCGCCACCACCCTCTCCTGAGTTGCAGCGGGGGCCTGTGAAGAATTAGTAAGGCATCTATCTATATGTATTTCAAGCAAAGGAAAAATCTCACATCCGCCTTCATTACAATTTTTCGTATTCCGAGGGGTTCCATTGTATCCTGTGCTCATAACTCGCTTTCCTCGAACTAGTACGCACCCTACTCGTCGCTTCATGCAATTGCTTCGTTGGGCTGCCAGAGAGGCAAGTTGCATGAAATATTGGTCCCAGCCAGGGCGGAGACGTCGGTCGTCGGCTAAATCTAGCTCCTCCAGCGCCGAGTGCAACTCATGCAACGAAGATGACGAGTTAAATAATCGGATCTGAGCACGGTCTGTCATGTAGGTAATTCCGATATCCTTATCGTATAGGTGCTTGTCGTTCCAGAGCACGAATTTCTCGAGGTCGGGAGGATCTAATTGCCGCCGCCAAGCCCTGATATTGTTAGGGTTGAGAGGAGATCCAGCGCGAAGTCAGGAGGAGCTCCGCGTACCTTTCAGTGAAGCGGCTCCATCTAAGGCTCACTGGAGCATCCACGCTTACTAGAAGAAAATAAGGTCTCATGAGGAGTCTCTCGAGCGTTGCCTCATCCCAGATATTGGTAGTCACCCAACGATCTTGCCATCTTTTCGTTACAAAATCGAGAAGCTCATCAACGTTCTGAAATACGTGAGCCCCATTTTTAGGTGCTTGACTCCCGAAAGATGGAGGTAGCTCAGTTTGTTCAAGCAGATGACTGGGCCTGTGGGCGAGTTGGAGCTTGTGAAATCCGTGTTTTTGGATTAAGTACTCAGCAACGGAGCTTTTTCCGGAGCATATTCCTAAAAGCAATGTCAGTTTCTGCTCTTATTGCCCTAACCTCTTCTTCTTCGTATTTTTTTTCTTAAATAAGTGTGAAAATAATAATATAATAATAATAATAAATAATAATAAAAATCATAGAAATAGGGTTTTGGCAATAGACCTCCACATAGACCAAGCAGCATGGTAATTAAGTAAATTAGGTACTTTTCGGGGGAAAAGTCGGCGAGATTGGTGTATTGTTTAGTGATTCTCCGTCATAAACTGTGAAGGTATTCAATATAAAATCGACCTCTAAAAGAGAACAGATTGCATAGAGGGTCCTGACTTTACTTTCTAGAGCTTTTCAATAAAATGTAAACTGTTGAAGGGTAGATCTTCCTGCCAACACATAAAATCGAACATTGAAATTCGAGCGGATCATGTGACACGATGAATCAGGCGACGTCCATGGTTTATTCTTCCGAATACACTAGTTACCCATTTTGGAGGCTTAGAAGATGTCATCCCTAATAAAAGCAGCATACAAGGAGTTTTGCTAACTAATATCAAAGCGACTTGTTTTGATCTCACCCCAGCTGATATTCCAACGAGGCCAGCCATTGATCACCTGGTGGGAAACAAGGCCAGTAGATACGCTCTACTGAAATCTGTTATTTATTCACTGGAATCCCTACTTTCAAGCAGATACATTCCGTTTTGGACTTAGATCTGTCTGTCGCCAACATGCAGTATACACCTTTTGCTTCTGATATAGAGCTTCCTTTCTACACATCCTTGGCTTCGCTGAAAATAAATCATGACAAACTCGATGACTCTGCTCGTAAGCTGCTTGGACTTTACGAGATCAGATCTGCTGATCGCCCGGAGACTTCGTGTCGTATGCAAATTCATGGGACTGCCTTGACCCGAGATGAGTAAGTCGAACTACTTCTGGCATATTTGGTAATTACTCACAGTCTCGATTCCACAGAGTGCCCGCTGGCTACTATAGGGCTGAAGGGATGATAAAGAATGTCAACACAATCGAAGAATACCGCAATACAGACAAGAATGCTCTTTTATTACAAACTGGAAAGACGGTACGCAACACCCTGCATCCCATGAGTAAGGCTTTGTGCTGAGAGTGATCTACTGGGAGCAGATATGGGATGCAATCAATGATGGGACCATTTACTCATGCCCATCCCTGCTAGTGTCATTTATTGCGCTTTCCTTTGCGGATTTGAAAAAATATAAATTTTCGTATTGGTTTGCATTTCCCGCAATCCATTCATCACCATCATGGACACCCGTGCTGGATCCGAAGCCATTATCAGGCAGTGAAAGTTCCACCCTAGTTGACGCTGTTCAAACATGGCGATATGGGGTTGATGCTCGCCAACACGGGTTCTTTCTTGCTAGGAAGGATTGGCATGCGGGTAACAGTTCATCAGGTGGCACTCCGTCTAACACAGAAAATGTCGATAACCAGCAATCCTTGCCATCAAAAGCAAAAGAGCTGGGGTTTTCCTGGAAAATTTCATCACTTTCAGGGTTTGAAGTTGGATTTTTTAGCGATATTTTGCCCGAAGATTGTTTTGTGTGTTTCGCTGATCCATCGAACTACCCAGATGCTCCAGGTTGGATGTTGAGGAACCTGTTGGTTCTTGTTCGCCAACGATGGAAACTTAACGAAGTTAATATTCTTAGATACCGCGACGTTCAATCGAAAAGGGATCAAGGTCGAAGTATTGTCATAAAATTGAGATCGGATGCAGCTCAACCTGACGGTAAAGACTCGCAGCTCGGGTCCGAAATGCCCATGCCGAAAGTCACCGGATGGGAACGAAATGCCGCGGGCAAACTAACTGGAAGAATCACTGATCTCACAGAATACATGGACCCCAGAAGGTTTGTCTAAAGATTTCATATTATTATTTTTAAACCATGTTAAGTAAAGTGTTTCTAACGGGACGAAACAGGCTGGCTGATCAATCAGTGGACCTCAATTTGAAACTTATGAAGTGGAGGATCAGCCCTAACCTGGATCTCGAGAAAATCAAAAACACAAAATGCCTTTTGCTAGGTGCAGGAACTCTGGGTAGCTACGTTGCACGCAATTTGTTGGTGAGAATAGCAAAATCTCTTGTATATGGCTCAATAGCTGATGCTGAAGATACAGGGGTGGGGTGTTCGAAAAATTACGTTTGTAGATAATGGCACAGTGTCATTCTCCAATCCTGTTAGACAGCCACTGTTTGGGTTTAATGACTGCTTGGGAGGAGGGACTAAGAAGGCCCTTCGCGCTGCCGCAGCTCTTGAAGAAATCTATCCCGGTGTTGACGCTTCTGGCTTTGTGATATCTGTCCCAATGCCGGGTCACCCAATAACCGACGCTTCGAAAGCCGAACTTGAATTTCGGGAACTCAAGAAACTGGTTGACGAACACGATGCGATATTTGTTTTGTTGGATACTCGAGAGGCTCGGTGGTTACCAACCGTTATGGGAAAGGCAACCGGAAAAATAGTGATGAATGCAGCGCTTGGTTTCGACACATATGTTGTAATGCGTCACGGCGTTGAAAATAGCTCGGCGCCAGAAACAGAACTGGGATGCTACTTTTGTAATGACGTTGTTGCTCCAGCTGATGTAAGTCGTTGGCTCAATTCTTCATATATATGTGTTGTGTGCTAACTCGGTTACAGTCTGTTAAGGACCAAACGCTAGACCAACAGTGTACGGTGACTCGTCCCGGCATAGCTGCAATAGCATCCGCCTTGTTAGTTGAGTTGTTTGTGTCCACTTTGCAGCATCCAAATGGTCCAGCTGCACCTGCATCCTCCCTCCAACAAGAAAGCCACGCCGATCACCCTCTCGGAATCGTCCCCCATCAAATCAGAGGGTTTTTGTCTAATTTTTCGAACGTGGTCGTATCCGGGAAGAGCTACAACTGTTGTAGTGCTTGCTCAGGTAATATAACGGATGCCTATAAGACACAGGGGTGGGATTTCGTTCGCAAGGCGGTGAATGAACGTGATTATGTTGAAGAGTTGAGCGGTCTGAAGGAGGTAAGTCTCCGTTTCAGATGAGAAAACAGGTCGTACTTGGAACTAAATTCCACAGATTCAGCGCGCAGCCGAGGAAGCGTCAGCTTCCCTTGACTTCGAGGAGAGCGATTTCGAAGAAGGCGATGGAGAAATGATTTAGGACATAGAATAAATGACCAACGCACATTCTTTCCATGCCCATTTCCAGTTGCAGACGGTATATCGTAAACGGCTCCGTTACAGCTTGAGCGGCGGTATGAACTATTGGTCCGACAGAACGGCACCTCTGGAGGCATTATGTTTCCGTCTTAAACCGATAAAGTATGCTTCTTTCGATTCCTGGCAGAAAATTTAATTAGTGAGATATCAAGATTAGCGGGCTTCCCAACGTACGCTACGAGAAGATTCTGGCTTTTCCCGATGGACGTTCTGGAATAGTTCTTTCAATTGCCTTTCCAGTGCTTTATCTTCAGCACCTTGATAAAACTTGCAAACGAAATGACCTCCCGTTTTCAAGACGTTGAAACTAAACTCCAGCGCCGCCCTGCAAAGGTCCTATCCTCCTCATTAGTGACACAGGTAAAGTAAAGACGGCGAGAGACGTGTATCAATCATACCATGCTTCCGGCATGATCTCGAAAGCTCATTCCGCTCGTGTTCATCATCCTGTGATAAGGGTCACTAAGGCTTTTCTTCCAGAAACCAGTTGTTTGATCCCAGGGGGCAGACATGTCGCTTAGAACCACATCAACCGTCTTATCCGCGACAGCAATATCGGGGATATCTTCATTGCCACCGTCTACCTGGGCAATATGCAAGCTAGCACTCCGTTCCCTATCAATGTAACCTTCAGTTTCTTCCACTTCGCTATCGGCCTGTGGTTGCGAACGTGGATCGGCGTCGTCGAAGTGGTTGAGAGACTGTGCTCTTCCACGATTAGGGTTTCGTAGGAATTCTTGGACGTAAGCTTGTATCTGCGGAGAAAGGAAGTTTCCTTGGATTGTTGAGACACCTTTCGGAGGTTGAGCAGGAATTATATCCACTCCGACTACACGGCCTTTGGGCTGCGTGAGGTCCACGGCGACCTGGAAGACAATGATTAGAACCCTAGAGGGAAGAAGGGACAAGGCACGCGGGCATTCGGACCTGTGACCAAGATCCGGGGGCATAACCCTTGTATAGTCAGCTATATATCCAAGAGAAGCTGTTGGAAGTAGTAAATTCATCCATACCAAATCTACTACACTTTGACCGGGTTTAAATATTTTATGTTTTTCATTAATCTGTCGAAGCTAGTCGTCAGCCCAGGGCAGCACAAACGCTGGCGTCGAAGGGATGTCACCTGTATTAGTTTAAATGCTGCACGGCTTTTCAATCCTTTCACTGCTGCTTCTCTCGAGTATTTGTCCTTTGCTTGCCGAGCTTGCCATCGCTTAGACGACGAGGAATATCTTTTCGATATCTCAATCACTACCCGCGATTCCCAGCTGCAACTTTTACCCGTTGGTAGCCACACATGGGAGGAAAGACGGAGATTGAGGAGTTTCATATGGGATTAGGTAAACCGAGTGTGAATTTTTGAGTTGCAATAATATTGAAAATTGTTTCTTTTCCCTCATGGGAATGAATATTTGAGAGAAGAAAAAAGACCACACTAAATTTTATCACGTGGCTATAGCCGTTGCGCAGCCGCAAGCTCAACAAGGGGCATGACCATGATATTAAATTTTCAACAGAACCCGCAGGTAGCTATTATTTCTCTAGAATGGAGTACATTGGACACCGCATAAAAGATCGCTAAGATCGGTTGACCTTGCTTTTCCCAAGAGGTACATAAAACGTTAAGAATAAAGAAGTAGGTATTTCTATAGGGGAGCGAACTATCTAATCTCTCGCAGCTCGAATATCCCGTCGCAAAGGAGAGATATCTGCATACGCCTCTAATCCTCGACCGCCACCAAGTCGTCGACTCGGCGCACCTAGCCCGAACTGACCTCCCCGGAGAGCTCGAAATCCAGATGGTATCCGTCTTCTATCCTTATTGGGATCCCCAAAGCCGTCTTCATCATCATCAAACAGCGTGCCCTCTGGCTTCCTAGGAAGAAGTCTCCGCTTGATTCCCGCATTCTTATTTGTCGTCGACGTTGATGACTCATGTTGTGGTTTTGTGGATTGCATAACTTCGTGGTCATCGTCGGAATTCACCATGACGGATACATCTTGCGATTTTGCCGGACGTCTCTGCTTCGTCGGTTTTGTAGCTTTTGAGCTAGAGGGTTTGCGAGGCTTTGGACGGTCATGTTCAGCATCCTCTTTAATCCTTTTGGTTCGCCTACGGACTTCCTCTGCATCTGAATTAGTCTCGGACTCGTCTGAAGATTCTGCCGTTGTACTGGTTCGATTTAGGAATGGCGTTGTGGAGAACGTTGATTTTTCGCCGGGCACAGTGGGCACCCTGCTGATTCTCCGGGGAGCTGCAGCTGCGCCTGGTGTGGCTATCGTTATCTCCGTCTCAAACCTAGAAGTGCTTCTCTTCCGTCTCTGGTCTTCCTGTCCAACATCATCCAATATTGTAGGGTGGTCTAAGTCGCTGTTATCCTTTGACTGCCGTAACTTATTTCGAAGCGTAGCCAGCTTGTTTTCGAGAACCGATCGATGGCGCGCCCACTCGAGCGCTTCAGTTTTCATGTCATTTTCAATTTTTTCCCGTTCACGCCGCTCTCTTGCAAGTTCCTTATTAAACTCCCCCAATTCGCTGATAATCTTGCTGTCCATCTCACTTTGTTCCAGACACTTCAGCCGTGCCTTTTCTAACGCATTTTTCTCGTTTTGAAGCTCGACTTCTAGCGAGCGTAGCTGGCGTTCTAGCGACAGCTTCTCAGACATCAAAGCCTGGTGAGACGAGTTTTGTGATCTCAGGTGCTCAATTTCGTGTTTCAAATTGGATATTTCTCGCGTCATGGCTCGTTTTTCTGCCAGCAGCTTACTCGAGTCGGCTACTGTCACTTGTAATTCGCTTATGTTTGACTGTGGTTATATTAGTATTCATCTTATACCTGTACACCTGAAATGCTTGCCTTTAAATCGTCAATTTCCCGTAAGTGGGCCCGAAGCGAATTTCGTAAGTGGTCGATATCATTCTGTGCTTGCTTCAACTGCTCCTGTGCTTCTGAACCAATCTTCTCTGCTCGTGCTAGGTGCGATTTGGTATCTTCAACTTCGGAACATAGATCTTCTTTATCATGATCCGCAAGTAAGGCATGAACGCGTAGGACCCGATTCTTTTCTTCGCCGATAATTAATTTGGTCTGACAGAGAGCTTTTTCATATTCTGTCTCAAGACGCGCACTGGTTGAAGGAAGCGGCTAACACATGTTATTGTGAGCAGGAGGAAGCAAGCAGAAATAGAGCGCGGTGGGCCCACCTCATGTAGAACAGCCAAATTCCTTTGCTTTCGCGGAGCCATTGGTATTGTACTATTTTACCTAGTTATTTTTATATTTGAGTAGCAGTGGAACAAAATGGGAGGGATTGCTGTAGGAAGTAGAAAAGTCGACCTCGCTAAGTTCTGTTGATGCTTTGGTTGGAACTTGCGCTGCTTTATTTAGCGTTAACTCTTGGCATGCAAATCAGAACACGCTAAATCCGCCGATCCTTAAAGCAGCGGTGCTCTCGGAGACCAGTTGAACTGCCCCAGCATCGCGGAGAGTACACAGTGGCCACATGCCAATGCAATCTTACCACTCCTAGCTTCAAGGCTTGCGAACAACTGTCTCATCTCCTTTCTTTATTTGAGGGGGAAAGGATTAGCCATGAGGACTCTATCTATATTTACGGCATTAATTTGCCTAATAATCTCGTTGTCTGCTGCCAAATCTACTGTGGACAAATACAAGACGTACCAAGCTCTGGCAAAATCAAGTACGCCAATTCCACTTGATGATTCGACTTATAGCGACTTGACATCGAGTCCACGCGATTACCATGTTGCGATAATCCTTACCGCTGGAGATGCGAGATATGGGTGCCAGCTTTGCCGCGAAGTTCAGCCTGAATGGGACCTCCTGGCCCGGAGCTGGACCAAAGGGGCCCGGGAGGACACACCTAGATTACTTTTCGGTACTTTGGATTTCTCTAGGGGGAAAAATACTTTCCAGAAGGTTAGTGGGATATCCAGGATATTACACTATCTACAGTCTTCCAATAACTGACCCGATTTGCATTGACAGCTTTTGCTTCAAAGCGCCCCGGTCTTGATGTTCTTTCCTCCTACTGTTGGCTCCGGGGCGAAAGCAGATGCATCCCCTATCCGATATGATTTCAATGGGTAACAATATACATTCCCGCTTTATTTTGAAGCCCATTGCTAATTATTTACAAGGCCTCTATCCGCAGACCAGATATCGGACTGGATGAGCCGATACCTGCCAGAAGGCCATAGACCACCTGTTGTCCGTCCAATAAACTATGCGCGAATCGTAACAATAACAACATTACTGCTTGGTGCTATAACCCTCTTTACGGTGTCGTCCCGATTTATCCTACCCATTATCCAAAATAGAAACCTGTGGGCTGCTGTTAGCCTGATTGCGGTTCTCCTTTTCACCAGTGGACATATGTTCAACCATATAAGAAAAGTGCCATATGTGTCAGGGGATGGAAAGGGTGGTATCAACTATTTTGCCGGTGGCTTTTCGTCTCAATTTGGTCTGGAAACTCAAATCGTTGCGGCTATGTGTATGTTTCCCCGGCCAATACGTTGTCCAGCATCCCAGACACATTCTCCTTCTCAATTGCTTTTCTAATATTTGATAATGTGCAGATGCTACTCTCTCATTCGCCACGATCGTTCTTGCGATGAAGACTCCTCGAATTGCGGATCCTAAATCACAGAAAGTCAACGTAATTGTTTGGGGTGCTGTTATCTTTGTTATGTATAGCTTCCTCCTGAGCGTGTTCCGTATCAAAAATGGGGGCTATCCATTTTCCTCCCTCCCTTTTAACGGAGAGGTAATGGTTTGAGGAACATGGTGATAAGTAGAATTTCAGGGGCGGGTTTGCAAACTAATTTGTCCCGGCTACTGCTAAATTCCTTACTTCAAATTCAATGGCGTTAGATGATACAGACACAGCCCAACTGCTGGCCAAGATGGGTAGTTCGCGACGTTGTTTATGTAGTAATTCTATGTATACTATTTATATACACTCAAACATTTGCTTCTTCTACGTAATCGATGGTATAGGAGCTCCGCTTAAAATCTATGCCATCAACCTAACTTAATCATGTGACCTCCAATATTCCAAGGTTAACGCAACCCAAAGAACTACAAAAGAAAATGTGGAACTCTACAATGTTTTAACACCCTATCGCGATGCATGAAGTTCTCCCTGCGTTAATTGACTAGATCCGGAACCCATCCCATTCTCGAAATCTGTAATGATGGGCCTCAATGGATCAACCAAGTCCCTGGTGAACGAATCTGGAGCCCATGGTACTACATACTTGATATTGATCCAGGTTGTTTCTCGAGCTTTAACATTTCTGGCAAACCAACTCCTCCTACGGTATCTATCCCCAGAGATATTAGGAGTCACTACTCAGTTAGAACTCTATACTGTCACCACGCTCTACTTCTCTCGTGAAAGCCTTAGAGTTGCCCTCCAACGACAACCTTCCAACTCTCAACGATCGAGCCCTATGAGCGCTACGGAAAAAGCTCATACTGAGAAGCCAGGAGAATCCAAATCATACAGTTATCAGGAAGATATTCAGGCTGTCGTAAACCTTTCTTATCTGGTGGTTGCACTAGGTGGTCCTCTGATTTATATTCTGGGCCTATTTTATGCTCGATATGCCCACCAAGATGTTCTCGATATACCATTCTTCGAAAGCAGTCTCAAAGTGACAGGCTTTGCATGCTTCTTGGAGCTCTTGACAGAACCGTGTTTTGCTGTAGTCCAACATCGGATGCTGTATAAAACAAGGGCATTGGTTGAAACAACAGCTGCCGTTATGAAAGCTTCGACAACATGCGGGACCAGTATATGGGCAGCTCATACCGGAAGGGACCTAGGCGTTTTACCCTTTGCTGTAGGCCAAACAGCTTATGCGTTTACTCTTCTTGTTGCCTATTTCCTTACAGTTAGCTCATATTCAAACCGAGGTGGCTTCTCGGTATTTCCTCTTCCCATCCGCTGCCGGTTAGTCCCCCCCTTCGTTGAAAGCAGCTACAGGAGCCTAACGACTTATTAGAGAAAAATCCGATTATTTTTTGAATATGTTCTCTATCCCGCTACTATCCCTCAGTATCAATATCTATGCCCAGTCCGTGGTGAAGCATATCCTCACCCAAGGTGACTCAATGGCGCTTGCTACGTTTTCCACCCTTGAAGAGCAAGGCCTGTATGCACTGGCCTCCAACTATGGAAGTCTTGTTGCAAGGATTATTTTCCAGCCTATCGAGGAAAGCTCCCGGAATTTATTTGGAAAGCTTCTCGCCATCAACAAGTCGGAACCGACAACTAAGGAGAGCCTGAAACTGGGCAAGACATACCTCTGTGGTATCCTCCACGCTTACGGTATATTTTCGATCATGATCTGCGCTTTAGGTCCAACCATAGTCCCAGAGTTACTCAAGCTCCTAATAGGCTCTCAGTGGTCACCCCCTGGCATCCAAAGCATCCTCTCGAACTACTGTTACTACATTCCGCTGCTAGCATTCAACGGCATCACCGAGGCCTTCGTCGCCTCAACGGCAACACACTCGGAGCTACGACAACAAGCTGGCTGGATGGGAGCTTGCTCTGCTGGATTCATTACTGCAGCCTATTTGTTTTTGAGAATAGGAAAATTGGGTGCTAGCGGGATCATATGGGCAAACCTCATGAACTTGACTCTTCGCATTGTTTGGAGTTCCTGGTTCATCAAAAGATACTTCCGAGATCGCAAAGTTGCTTTTAGAATAACGGAAGCATTGCCAAACTCGGAATCTGCTGTGGTTGGTGGTTTAGCTTACGCTGTTATGTGGGGCCTGCGATCCGGCGCTGAATCTAAGCTTTGGGAAATCATCAGAATACTCGTTGTTGGAGGCATGTTCGCGGTTTCAATGTAAGTTTCATATTAACACTTTGGCTTTTCCGATATATATATATTTTTTCTCCTTTAACCAACGAATCAAAAAAAATAGTCTATTTCTAGAGAGGAGGTATCTCTTTGAACAGTATCGCAAATCCAAAGCAGCATAAATGAGAACCCAAATGATACATCTAATCGTCAAACTTGATTTTGGTCGCCGTTTTCGTCGTGTCAGCCTCCTTGAAAAAGGCGCCATAAGAATCGTGCTGCTTCTTTTTCACAGTGGTGCCGAATTTCAAGAGCGCTTCGGGTACATCTTGTTTAGCTCCCTTCAGGATATTAACCAGTCTATGTGATGTCAGCTTTACGTCCGCAACAATGACAACGGATATCCCAAACTCACCCGCCAGAGAGTCCTTTGTCGTTCTCGGTGAACATCGTAATGGCCAATCCATCCGAACCTGCCCGACCCGTTCTAGTATACCGGTTAGTTACCTCAATATCACTATTATTCAGTACACGGTGGTGATCTTACCTTCCGATTCGATGGACGTAGTCTTCAACTGTTAAGGGAAATGTGACATTTAGGACCAGTTTGACAGCTGGAATGTCTAGCCCACGGGCAGCAACATCCGTCGCAACCAGAAGAGGTACGGAACCGGATTTAAATGCATCCAGACTCTTAAAGCGTTCCGTCTGGTTCATGTCACCGTGAATACCAGCAACCTTGAAACCTTTGGAGCGGATAAACCGTTCAATGCGCGTTGCCTCCTTCTTGTAAAGACAGAATACCAATACTTTATCCATAGCATTTTTGCCCCGTTGGTATTGGTTTAATAACGACAAAAGCCTATACTCCTTGTCCTCTGGTTTCACGACTTCCACAATCTGCTTGATCCTCGTGTTGGCACGGATGTCGGAAGAGAGATCGCCTCCAATCGTAACAGTCACTGGATCTTTCATAAAGGTAGCCGCAAGTTTCCGTACAGACATAGGCCAAGTTGCGGTAAACATGACCGTCTGGCGTTTTCTTGACGAAGGCATGGCGCCCACGATATCTTTGATGTCTTGCTCGAAGCCTTTATCCAACATCCTGTCGGCTTCGTCTAGTACAAGGTACTTCACTTTTTGCAAGTCTAGGGACTGGTCGCTGTGCAAATCCTTTAACCTCCCCGGTGTTGCGACAACAACAGATGCTTTCTTCAGTGCACGGCGCTGATCGTCCTTCGAAGCGCCTCCGTATATGCATGCGAGGCCAACGCCTTTTGGGGTGAACTTGACTAGCTGATCGTAAATTTGCATAGCCAGCTCTCTTGTAGGGGTAATGATGACAGCAGAAATTCGAGATGACGAGCGAGAAGCATTGATTGCCAACACTTTTCGAATGCAAGGGACGCCGAAAGCCAATGTTTTCCCACTTCCTGTTTCAGCGACACCGATGACATCTCTGCCTGCGAATAAAAATGGCCATGTGACGGATTGAATTGGAGTCGGTTTCGAGAAGTTCTCTAGAGGGCCATACAGCTGGTTGGAATCCGAAGGTAGGTAGGAGAACGCAGTGATAGGACGTAATGTCTCATTCTCACTGACTGAGGGATCCGAAATCTGGATGGTATTGGACTTGAGGAAGTCGTCAATCTCGGACTGAGGCAGCGCTTCCAGATCGGTAGATTGGACGTAGGAAGGTTGCTTAGGCTTAGCATCTTCCTTGGATCTTTTTTTTGGTCGAGAAGCATGCTCTGAATTAGATTCCGTATTCCGACTCCGTTTAGCCATATTTTCTGTCAGCTGGAGATTAATCGGTTACAATGGAATCAATTCAATGTTGTGCACGTTGAAAATAGCCAAATACCTACCTTACGGTAGACTGGAAACCGGAATTGGTACTGCTGATGGTGAAAATGTCGACCCTAGGCGATGTAGTGCTCGTGGAATGCGATAAAGATGAAATATCTGGCCGATTCCCCAATTTATATAAAAGAACGTGAATTTTGCGATAAATTCTGCCACGATTCTTCACCGCCTATAGCTTGGCATATGATACAATGACTAGTTCACATCCATGGATATACATTGTCAGTATTTGTCTAAAAACATTTATTTCTTCTACCATAGTGACCATATTTAGCATATGGAAAGCGAAAACATAAAACAAAACCGGAGAAATTCAAAGTAAAATGCCTCTATATCATCCATTAATCATACTCGCTCTCAAAAAAGCCTTTCACAGGCCTATCTATCTTCTACCATCAGACTTCTCCAATGGTGCAGATGATTTTTCCTTTGGTCTGGTTACTTTCCATGAGCACATGGGCATCTATGACATTCTCGAACGGGAAGACTTTCTCAACATATACTTTGAATGTCCCGTCTTTGAATTTAGGCATTGCATCCAGCACCAGGTCCCGAAGCTTTCTCTGATACACAGTATCCCTACTCCGCAAAGAGCTGCCTTCGTACCTCAACCTCTTCCTCAGAATTGGACTGATATCAACACCAGCGGGCAGCTTGATGCCACCTAAGAAGCCGAGGTTGACAATGCGGCCGTCCTTCGCGGCCGCGTCAAGATTTCCTTGAAAGTAACTTGCACCGACGAAGTCAATGATCACATCGACTCCGCGGCCATTCGTAGCCTTGGTCAGCTCGGCAGCCCAGTCCTGGGTCTTATAATTAAACCCGGCCGTGGCCCCGAGATTCTTGACACAGAAGTCGATTTTCTCCTGCGAGCTGGCCGTAACGTAAATATTGCTCGCGTTGTCCGCTTTCGAGAGCTGGATGCCAGAGATGGAAACAGCTGATGCGCCTGCATGCCAAAGAATTGATTTGCCTGGCTTAAATTCACCTACTAAATACATAGCCTGGGCTGCTGTGAACCATGTCTGTAAGATTGTAGTTTGAGGGTAATTAGTATGCGACATAACATATCTGTGGGGCGGTTGAGAGATTCGTTACCTCTGGTATTCCCGCTGCTTCCACCCAGGAGACTTCTGCGGGCTTGTGAAGCAGTGTTTGCACGGAAGATGAGATATATTCCGCATACGCCCCTTTTGGTCACAAAAACCCATATGTGAGAAATTGAGAAGGGCGATTAAAGAGAGCGGAACCAGGGTGATATACAACATACCTCCATAAGCCAACCCAAATACCTCATCACCAACTTTGAAGTCGAGACAGTCTCCATCACCCAAGGATTCAATGACGCCAGAGAACTCTACACCCAATGTCTTAGGTGCTTGAGGGGGTAGCGGATACAATCCTTCTCTCTGTAACAGATCCATCCTGTTCAAGCCAAACGCTTTGATTTTCACAAGCGCCTCTCCTGCAGACGGCAGTGGCTTCGGGAGCGTAGTCACAAAAAGGTTGGCCGCGGGGCCCTTGCCTTCCTTGATATCTGACAGTTTCATGTTAATAAGATATAAATCATATGTAGTCCTGGGGCAACGAACCAATTGCACGCATGTTTGCAGTCATTGTTGATATGTTGGATGTCAGTTCCACTCAAGTATAACGGCAGCCTAGTTTCCCAGAATTTGAATGAATCGAGATGGACAAACAAAGGTTGCTTTTGTCTTGCTTTAGCGGACAACATAGTTGTCAGATATATGCTGCGTAAGCCAACATAGATCCTTGCTCGGCGGGTCGGCTGAACAATCACCATTATTAAGCAGCAAAACCTCCCCAAACATGTCCTTTCCGGGGAAAGGATTGATCCGCCACCAAGCCTTTCTCGGGAGTTGCGGATCGAGTATTTCGGCTTATAAACGAGAATGGCTATCTGTACAAGTTCTACAATGGGGTTTACAATGCTAGATCAATGTATGTGTCATTTCGCTATCATGTCGTGGATAATACAGGATGAATAAGAAACATGTACAGCGCAATGTGCAACGTGATAAATATCACCTCAGCCCTTGTGCCTTCCGCTCCTCTCTCTAGCTGATCTCGTAAGCCTTGATCATCTCTGCAAGGCGAGCCGATTCCGCACTGTAATCGATAGCGCTGACAGACAATACTTGGTATCGGACACTAATAAGTGTATTAGCAACAGTACGTACACAAATGTAGGGAGAGTAATAGGTAACATACCGTTGCTGGTCCTGGAAGTTATCCATTTTGGCTCTGCATTTAAAATTCCAAGCACGACAGTTGGCCTTCTGGACAAGCTCTTCGTACGCCCGCTCATCATTTTCCTTGAGCTCCATGAGTTCATTTGCAGAAGTTCCTAAAATCAATTTCCCCACTTCGTCGAAGCAACTGAGCCACATGGCGCCAGTATGATCACACACGTTCACGGACAGTATATAGCGATGCTCTGGATGAGGGAACGATTGGTCGCATCGCTCGCATCGCCACTGCCCGTTATCATCCTGAAGAACTTTTTTGTTGCATTTGTCGGTGAGACAAGCAGGATAAGCCATGGAGTCTTGCTTGATATAAACCACAGTGGCTTTCACAGAGAAATAATCTGGCTTCTCAGACATTCCCAAATTACCTTCGTGGACCTGAACAATGGTTTTGAACGAGCTAGCCCTGTCACCAAATCCTGCAGCGTTGCTCATGGAGTCATGAGACGCAAAAGTTTCTGACCTTCCTTGAGCATCATACCAGCCCTTTAATTTATGAGCGTCTTCAATATCGGGATCGACTGTCATGGACCCCGAACTCAACAGACTAAGAGATCTCCCATTATAATCAGAGACTTTCACGCCCTTGAAAGCAACCACAGATTCCGGTACAGAATCAAACTCCTTGGCGGTATTTCCCCACACTGTAAGTCGAACAGAATATCCCGTGTTGTCAACTAACGTAAGATCACGTTTGTCGTAAGGCTTGCTGGTTGTCTTAGATAGGATTTGAGAGGTTTCTCCAACGTCTTTCAACACACCAATCACGTCGATTGTGGTGCCTGCTTCTACTGATTGCAAATTAGCAATATTGGTGAAGTTGAATCGAATTTGAGGAACATCATTTTGCTCTTCAGCCTGAATTCATGTTCGTTAGAAATCTATTTCCGTTTTAGCGATTCAGAGAATGACGTGTGACTGACCTTTTCAACGACCGTATCCTTCTCGAAAGTAAGCTCATATTCGTTGTTGAGGTTGTTGAACGCTTTTTTGGCTATTTGAACACGACATGGGCTCGATATGTAATACACAGAGCCTTCCTCAAAAACGCCATACAATGAGTCGCACTGGTCCTTGAAAGCGGTGGCACGAATTTCTCCGCTATCATCCAAAAGGTTGACGCTGAAAAGTTTGCCCTCTCCATTTTTATTGTGCCACGTTTTGATTGCCGATTTGTTCGTACACCGTGCCTTTATCGTCCATTTATGGGAATACGGAGAGAGTGCTTCGATGGGATATATATTGGCATGGGCGCCGGCGGACGACGAAGATCGCTGTGCTGGCTGTTGAGGCGCTTGCTGCTGAGGCCCACGGGAGCCATAGAATCCATTGCTAGAAATCGTCGTCGGAAGAGCTTTGTCCTGCTCTTCTTGCTTTGCGTCAAGCGGCTGAGGTTCACCGATCTTCTTCTCGCATATACCCAATCTCTCCAACACTTCGAGATCGAGGATAATTAGAATTCTGCAGCAAAGATTCGTGGTAAGCCAGGTTCCGATTTTGATGCTTTAACTATACCATATGACTAAGAGAAATGCTCACCTTTTCCCTTTCACCATGTTGGCTTGGAATGACTTCAATCGAACAAAGCAGCCGCGAACTAATTGCCCACTCGTAACGTAATGGTTGGCCTCTATCACATCCAAGTTAATAAAAAGAACGTTCGATAGTCATCAGCGGTTGGGGCCCAAGCATACGGGTTGCAAGCATTGTTTGTATATAGTTTGTAATGTCACTGAAAACGGCTCTGAACCTTTCGGGGCTGTTTGGCTGAGCAGGCAAAGGCTTGACTTGAAGACATTGGAGGATAGGCTCAGCAACCTTGGGTCTTGAGTCATCAAAAATCGCACTGGAACCCTGTCAGTTTAATAATCCTCCCGTACTCGCGTGAGCTTGAGTGAGGTAAATACCTAAGCGCCCCCATTGTGATCTCCGACGTAGGGTCTGCCATTATTGCTTCAGAAAGCAAATCTTCAACACTGGGTATCGAGGTAATAACCAATATCAAGAGTCAACAGTGGGTAACTGGGGTAGACGAAAAAAATGTTCTTGGGCGCTTGTTCACTTTTCTTCGATGTCGACGAGGGGTTGAGGATAGATTGAAGTCGCGTCGACTGAACACGCGTAAAGAGGATGCGCGGGTGGGTGGCGGGGTGAGCCACGATCTAACTACTTGGAGCCTAGCGGACTAGTCACATGCCCAGAGCCAATTACATAATGCCACTGACCTCATCTGCCGGGAGCTAGTATGAAATATAGCTCACCTTTGTGATTAACAAATACTCTTCAACCCTGAAGCAAGCCAAAGCTCTCATTTTGAAGTGACCACATCATGGCTTGCGTTCATATTGATTCTCCGGGTTAGTTCGCCTTTTTATCCTCTGTTGTTATACTTTTGTTGCTCCTAACAGCCATTGTATAGAGCTCCGTACCCCGCGGGTTAACCAACCTGTCTATCGAGAGGATTGCACGCAGTGCTTTGACTCAATAGTACGCCTGCCCTTATCCCGGCCATATTTTACTCTAGGAGATTCTAACGATAAAATAAGGATGACCCTTCTGGTCTAGATGTCTGTCTTTTCTGTTTCAACGGTGGGTGTGCGGGGGACAGAAACCACTCCAGCATTCACCATCGGCGCTCAGGACATCCGCTGGTGTTGAATATAAGGAGGACAAGGAAAGCCGTGCAGGTTAGATCTTCTTGTCTCATTCTCTATCCGTTCTGTTGCTTTTTTAATCAGTTCGTTAATGTTAGCTTCTTCTAACCATGCTAATATTATTTAATATAGCGAGATGAGCCTCCTCCCAAGATGTCGAAGTTAGCCATCGCTGCAGAAAGAGAAGAAGATCGCTATGACACTACTACAAGAGTTAACTGTCACGCTTGCCAAGCCAATGATATCGATAAATCAACTGGAAATCTCTCCGCGGTTGTCGATGGTGTATTGAAAGCTGTCACATTTTCACGGAAGGAGGAAGTCAAGGCTTGGGAGCAGGAATACAAACCTTGCCAGCATATATTGTCCCTCGTTCAGGATCATTCGAACCAGGCGATGTCCAAAGGTATGTTTTCCCCCGGGCAAGGAAGAGTATATTAGGTGCCCCCAAACTCAACTTTCTTCCATAGATTTATCTAAATGTTCCTCGTGCGACTTAAAGGAGAACCTCTGGTTGTGCCTCGAATGTGGTAATTTGGGATGCGGCCGAAGTCAGTTCGGCGGCGTAGGTGGCAATTCTCATGGCCTCGCTCATGCAGATGCTTCTTCCCATGGGGTCGCCGTTAAACTTGGTTCCATTACGCCTGAGGGCTCTGCGGACGTTTTCTGCTACAAATGCAACGACGAAATAATCGATCCTGACCTTGCTGCCCATCTAAAACACTGGAACATTAATATCGCTGATCGCGAAAAAACCGAGCAAAGTCTCGTGGAAATGCAAATTGAACAAAACCTTAAATGGGACTTTTCAATGACTGGTCAGGACGGACATGAATCGAAGCCCCTTTTTGGCAAGGGACTTACGGGACTCAAGAATTTGGGAAACAGCTGCTATATTTCCAGCGCTTTACAGTGCCTCTTCTCATTACCCGAATTCGAAGAGCGATACTCCCAACCCATGGCCGAACCGCCGCGCGTATCGTCGCCAGCAGAAGATCTTGAAACTCAATTACGAAAACTCAGCGACGGTATACACTCTGGCCGTTACGCATTCCCTGATCCAGACGCAGCTATTTGCGCTGATTCGCCCGACGTTGTATATCAAAAAGGCCTTGCTCCTTCGATGTTCAAACATTTGGTTGGTCGTGGTCACGAGGAATTCTCAACCATGCGTCAGCAAGATTCATTCGAGTTTCTTATCCACCTCTTCAAACTCATTACGCGTTCAAAACACATAGACGGCCTTCAAGATCCTGTGGGCTCATTTCGGTTTGCGCTAGAACAGCGCCTACAATGCCTAGCGTGCAAGAAGGTCCGATATACGATAGACGAGCAGGATAATATTTCGGTCCCTGTTCCGGCACGTCGTATAAAGCAAGACAATAACAATACAACCGCAGCTGGATCTCAAAGCTCACCTGATTCACCAGAATTCGAAACCGTGACTCTGAGGGAGTGTTTGGACATTTTTACTGCAGACGAGAGAGTTGAACTGACCTGTGCCTCCTGTGGTAGCAAGGAAGGCTTCCTCAAACGTTCGCGTTTTAAGACTGTCCCAAGGAATTTAGCCATTAACGCTCGCCGCTTTAGCCTCGTTAACTGGGTGCCAACAAAGCTTAATATTCCTGTTGAGGTTGATGATAAGCCTTTTGACATGAGTGCCTACATGTCCTCTGGGCTTCAGGAAGGCGAAGAACTATTACCAGAGGATTCATCCACCTCCCAAACCACGGCGTTTGTTCCAAACCAGAATGCACTTGATCAGCTTTTAACGATGGGATTCCCAGAAGTTAGGTGCAAGAAAGCCCTTCACGCAACCGGAAACGCCGACGTAGAGGCCGCGATGAATTGGCTAATTGCCCACATGGAGGATCCGGATATTGACGTGCCTGTTGAGCTTACAACAGGCAATACCACGTCAAATGACCAATCAATGGATGATCCAGACAAAATCGCCCAGCTCAACGAAATGGGAATCGACGCCGCCAAGGCCCGTAAGGCTCTGAGAGAAACAGATGGGGATGTTATTAGAGCGGTGGAGTGGGTTTTCAGCCATCCCGATGACACAGGAGCTGTGGAGGAATCCCCGGGAGATACAGATACTGGCAGCGCCAGAGAACCTCCCGGCTCCACGGAGCTACCGGCTGAATTCCAGTTACAGTCCATCATCTGTCATAAGGGGGCCTCAGTTCATGCCGGGTGAGTATATCATACTGTTTTTCCATCTCGTAATTGGTTTAATACATGTTATAGTTTACTAACAAGTTAAAAATCGCAGGCACTACGTCGCATTCGTACGAAAGCTACTCCCCGGGTCGGAGACGCCACAGTGGGTCTTATTCAATGATGAGAAGGTCGTCGAGGCGAGCGACGTAGAGGAGATGAAGCAGTTTGCGTATGTCTACTTTTTCAGAAGGCTATAGATTCTCCCTCATGCCTGTTTAGCTATTCCCAAGGGTCGAGTTCCTAGACAGAACAGATAGATTTTTTTTTCCCCTTCTACATTCATTCTTGTTACAATTTAGCAAATGCCACCTGAATGATTTGATGAATCAAATGACTTTTATCTCGTTCCTGATGTTTTCCAGATGATTGGTTTCGCGAGCGTTTGATAAAATGAACATATGTTCGTAACGTTGTAGGCATGATCACCGACGCCATATTGATTGATGTCTTGGATCATGTAGTGCACAGCAGTACAAGAGCAGTTATGTACCAGTTCAACGCAGGCAAGCGGTTCCGACAATATGTACAAAATCATATGAAGAAAAGATGATAGCAGGCCTTGAAACACTAGCGAAAAGGGAACCATAGGGGGCGAAGTCTTTTTCATTCCGTTGACTTGACAACCCAACCCTATCCTACATACATTCCACAAGCGAATTTCAAACGAGAAAGATGGAGCAAAGTAAACGGAATGCACCCCAGCTAACCAGCACACAAGAAAATAGAAATAGCAGTTATATGTAGAATTAATACAACGGAGGGGGTACACAGAGGAGAAGGAAACGGCCAATGAATGAACGGAATAAAAAAAACAGAAAAAAGTAAAAGAAGTATCATCACAACCCCTCAACAGCACCACTACTTTCTTCACGAACGGGAGTCGAAAACCGTCCTCTTGTCTCACTAATAATCCATGAGAACCACTCATCAAGCTTCCCCTTCTCGAAGTACGTGCGTAGCAGATCAGCCTCTGCATCTAGCTCCTGGACGAGGCTAATCTGCTGGTCAGGCGGCAGGACCGCATGGGATCTTGCAGGGAGGATGTTTGTTTCAAGGATGCGAGAGGGCGTGAACGATTGGCGGGTCAGGCGAACATCCTCACCGAGTTCTGTTGTTTCAGGCAAATGGGCGTTAGTTTTAAAAAGGGGTCATGATAAGTAGAAAGATGCAGTAGGTGCAAAGACGAGGCGCAGAGGAAAATGGGAAAAGGGGAGAAAAAAGGAATCCTACCTTCAGCAAGTTGCCTCATCGTCTCCGCCAACGCCGTCGATCGAACATTAGACTCAACCTCTCTATCCCCCTTCTTATCCGTCCGGTTGATGGCTTCCCAATCATCACGAATCATGCAGCGGCGCCAGATGAGCATCTCCAAATTCTCGCGATACTCGTGTCCCTGCTGGTCCAGGTGATGGAAATTACCCAACTTCAAAACCGTGAGCGCAAACAAAAATTCATGCCCGCCAATACTATCTTCCTCTTCTCCACCTTCAAGGAACTGAACGGGATCCATTAGCGTGAGCAAATTTATGAGCTCCTCCGGCTCCATGGGCGATCTGGCAACGAGTTTGGCAAGGCAACGTTGTAGAAGAGCGCGGAGCGCTGGCTTGCCGCGCACGACGTTATTTCCAAACTGTTCGATGGCTAGTTGGAGGGCCGCACCCTCATCGATAGCGCCGTGTAGAGCAGGGAGTACATGGTCGTAGATCAATTCCTGGATGTTACAGACTTCTGTAAGCTGGTCGAACGGCCCTAGAGCCTCTTGCAAGTCTGCCGGTGCGGAACCGGCTTTTTCGAACTCGGCTAGCTTGGTTAATTTAGCAAGGGATATCTCGACACGCTTGCTCCATAGGTCGGTTTCCCGTTCAATCGCTAAGCGCTGCAAGGTATTACACGCAGTGCTATAATCACGCTCCCCAACAATATCATTGATCCAGCTCAATTTTGAATAGGCTGGGTGGCTCCGTAGGAATTTAGTTACAGCTCCTTGGTACTCCTGCATGATGAGCAGAGTTTCCGGCTGACCGACGGTGATGTGTCTAGTGAAGAAGGCATCAGCCCAAGCTTCACCAAATCGTTCGAAATAGTTGTCAATTCTGCGTTTCCAGATTTTAGTGCCTTCATCGAGCACCGGTCCCTCATCTTCCGGTCGTCGCGGTGGCCTCTGTTCTTTTATTTGCTCGTGCAGGTCGACCATAAGTTCCACCAAGGCATCCATATCTCTGAATGATTCCGCAAGGGTAATTGCGTCTTCAAGCAAGCCAATCGCAGCCAGTTTAAACAATTGTGGTTTGCGATTTTCCACGTGCGATTTCTCAAGCATTTTCCCACTAGCCTGAATATCTGTGTCATTCTGCGCTGCACACCACATAGTTCGCTCTTTGTGTAGCAATGCAAACGCGTTGAACTGTCTAGGTATGTTTTCCTTGATCGTGTCAAGAACATTAGCGGTTCGTGTAGCCGTTGAATCCGATCCGGTAGCTGCAGTTGTAGCGGGCCGGCGTCGACAGATGTTGAGTTCCAGGTCCAAAAGCTGTTCTGTTTCTGAATAATTGATTTGGGTTGATGTCCAAAACTCCGGCAAATCACTATACTGTGCCACGATGGCTGCATCGTCATCGGCAAATTCGTCGCCTACTCCATATAGAACAGCATTGTCCTCTCGAAATTGGAAGGCTGTTTCCAGCGCAGCCAGCGACAGATCACAAGCCTCGCAAACCCGCTCTGCAAATTGCCTGTCAACTGCACGCGAGGTGTTGCTCTCGTCTCTTCGAAGGCCGTTCAAAAACCACGGAATGACATATTCCATTCGCCACGTATCATGAATGAACCAATGCCGGACAAGGTCAGTTTCACCACTTCCCGGCTCAATTTTCGTTTTATGATTGTCCCCCATCTTCGAAAGAATGAAGTCGAGATGCGTTCGATTGCTGGTGGTGTTCTCCTCGTTCCTCTGTTGTACCCTCCATATAGCTCGCTGGGCTGCCATTTTTTCTGCAGCCCACAAGAGCTTCCACCTCGTCAGATGAGAGATATGCACATGGAATCGCTTTATGTAAACGGCTAAGTCATGAAGCGCAGTAGCCCGCGTCTTCATCTGCTGTTCCAGGGATGGGATGGTGGTCGGAATGAATTTCGAGCTAGACCGGACAATTTCGTCGCTTATTTGTAATGCCGCATGTTCAAGTTCAGCCGGACTAGAACGAAGCTCATCATAGCCAACAAAATCAAGAGGGTTCGATTTCATGCTGCCGTAGAATACGGCCTGCTCGAGTCGCGATTTAGCAGTAATCTTTGCCCCATTGACATTATCAGAGTATGGTGTGGGAAAAGCAGATACTCGAACTAGACCAAAGTTGCGAATCATGAGTATACATGACGGATATTCATGGTCGGCATCGGAGTCCTCAGGGCCACACCCCTGGACGACATATTCATGTCCTTCCTTGAGCCGGATGTAATCCTGGAAGCTCGAAAGCGTAGCGTGGGTCTCTCCTAAGAGCTGGGCCGATGCCGGGTCAACAAACGGATCGAGGGATAGGATAATCATCCCCTTGTCGAAGATTACAAACGCCCGGCATCCAGGTTTAGGGACATATAAATGTGGCGCCCAGGGGGTGCCTGAATCCACAGAGTGATTTCGGAGTTGAATGGGGTTAACAACATCAGCAGTCGCTGTGGAACCCGCAATCCTCAAGCCGACAACAAAGTACGACAGGGACGAGTTTTCACATACTCCGACAAGCGCCCAGAGTGAGATGGCGCCATCAACATTCCCAGCAGCGTAGTTACTGGAGTCACCATTGGCGAACGCAAAATCATAAACCTGGAAAGCATTTTGGGCATCATCTTCAGAGATATCCACCGTGCGTCTCAGAGCTTGTAGTATGTGTTGCTTCGCATCCACCTGCGTTTTTAGAGAGTTCCCATTATTCCAATGGATATCCCATAACTCAAACTCCCCGGCGCTGGTGGCTATTATGATATCGCGCTGGCCACGCTGGGACGACATGCCCGCCTTGACAGCCGCGATTTTTCTTTTCCACGAGCTTCCAGAGAGCACGCTTCTAAGTCCGCCGAAGAAACCACCACCCCCTCCCCGCGAGGTTCCACGGAGTACCTGAACCGAAATTCCAGGTTTTCCATGTGAATCACGAATAGACACATGGGCGAGGCGGCCAGTAGACAATGCAATGATAATCCCCGAAGGTTCCGCGTTAATGATCTCCGTAGCCATCTCTCCAGATAACATACCAGGTATTTCCCCCTGGATTCCGTTTTGTCGTTGCTTCATTAGCCCGAGAATGGCAGCATTCGAAACTGTTTCCCAAAGAGTAATTTTGCCCGTTGATGGAACGACAACTATCAGCCCTGGGTTGCCTTCCGCAGATTTGGATATAAATGTCCCCAATGGCAGGGGGTCATCGGAGTTCCTCGCTGGGCTCGGGATAACAAAATGAAGTACCGTGCTTGGAGTGAGGGACTGCGGAGGGGTGGTGTACGGCCATACGATAGCTTCATGTTGCGAAAGGGCAAGGCAATATCCATTCGAGGGGCTAATTGTGTATCTCAATGGCGCTAGAGAGATGCTTCCCGTCAGAATATAGTTGCTCAAGGCGTGCTCTCAAAAAGCTCAACTTACCTCCCGGGTTGTCCTTGATCTGCTCAGGTACCGAAGGTAAATGCGCAACATTGTAAAAATCATTGCTAGACTATGAAACCGGCAAAAACAAAGAAAAAAAAAATTAATTTCAGCAACCTGTAATCTTCCGTAAAACTGCATCATGAAAGAAACAAAAAGTCAAAATAATAATAAAAAAGGTCTCTTACAAGAGTAATGGTCCCATCCGCATGATCTCCACGTTTGTCCTGTTTCCTAGGTCCTCTAAGCGCGAGCTCATTCATAATCACCGGCCGACTTGGAGGTACCTCCTCTGGCAAGGACTCTCCATTTTGCAGCGATTGTTCTTCACCATGATTTTTAGCCACAGCAGACTCAGACTCCCTGACATTCTGTCGTAACGTCGATCGTTGTCGTTTCGCTTTGGGCGGCTTCACCGACTCGTCTGCGGTGTTTCTCTGCCGTCGACGGGGGTTTCGCAAAATAGCGACAGAGGTGTGGGCAGCGACATTACTTGAGAACATGACGAGGGTGGAGAGATAGTGGACGTAATGGACAGAGGTCGCGATGGGTTAACAGGGTAAAGGAAAACCAAAAGCTGGTAGCTGTTTCGTTCCAGCTGTTGGCCAGTTGAGGTAGGTTGGTGTCAGAGAGAGCCAGGCTCTGAAAGTTCAGGCATCAAACAAGCCGCCTGCATTTCAAGGTTTCTGTTTACTTTATTTGAAGCTTCGCTGAGCAACTTGTTTGGCTCCATGGTTTTTGCGCGGGTCACATGATATCACATGACTTTTATCATGTGAATTTTGTCATCCCTAGAAGTCATCATAAATCCGAAGATACGCATGTACGGTTACTCTGTACGTTGAGACTGACAGTGAACCACTCGGCGATTTATCAGAGTGGGCATGAATATATTCTTGTTCCGTGGGGCGAAAAATACTGCTACTGATCACAGGTCATTTGAAATCCGAAAATCGGCACTTTGAATCGAGGTCAAGAGCAGAATGGAATGTGTTGATTGGGGTCTTATATTGAATATTGTTCCTGGAGAAGACGATACCGGTCATGGATTGGCTTTTCAAAATGAAGGAATGAACGAATGAGTGAATGACAGAAGTTGATATTCCCACCGCTTGTGTATGTTGCATCTGATCGCGTGCAATGGATGCCAGAAAATGGGGAAATGAATCCGCTTTTTATATATATATATATATATTATATAGTGCTCTCCAGTGTCTTTTGAAGCTGAAACAATATGATTCTCAGAGAATGAAATTCAGACCGTCTTCAATAACCGGGATATCTAGCTAAGGTGTTAACGGAATGGCTAGCAAGATAACATAAAAGTCTCCTAAAACAAACACTAACTACTCAAGATAACCAAGAACAAGGATTTTACAAGAGAAGCCGCACATCACTACGAATGTAGATCCCCATCCCTGTCCATCGGCGCGGATATAAATAGTATCTATATTTCATAGTAAGTTATATTGGGATATAGTTATTTTAAATACCCGATATCTGATTCCGCGCTATCTGTCAATTTCACATGTCTTTCATCAGATAGTGCGCATACATGGAAAAAGATGATGGCAAAGTAAAGAGCCCTACCCGTCGCATCAGAGCAGATGATAATGTCTGCACTTCGGGGCATCAAGCTATCTCAAGACAAAAAATAAAAGAGATGACAACAATCAAAAGAATAACAACCGGCCGGCAGAACTCCACATAACGCAAAGAGAGGAAAAAAGAAAGCTAAACCCTTTGAAGAAACATGAGAGAGAGGTCAAGGAGAAGAAACAGGAGGGGAGGGGGTGGAGGAAGACAAGGATTCGACCAAAAACCTAAGCCTTCTTCACCTCAATCTCCGCCTCGCTGGTGCCACTGGTGCTACTTTCGTTGCTCTTGACCCCAATTCCATCCACGCCGTTGATATCCTCATGGAGAGGGCCATGTATTTCCTCCTCGAAGACCGGGTCCGGCTCAACGGTTTCGAACTTGGTCTTGAACTCAGCCAAGCCCTGGGTGCTACTGTTGGAGCGACGTCTGGCGTTGGTAAAGGTATACCCGTAGTCATGCACTTCTTCTCCAGAACGGCCCCTGTGAGACTTTGGTGTTAGCAGGGTTGGAAACAGTTTTTGCTTCATAATCTACGGCAATGAGAGGATGGGAGGGGTTTCAGAAGTGGGTTTGATTTGGAAGGTGAGCTCTCAAAACAAACACAAACCCACCAATTGCCCTTCCCGCCACCATCCTTCTTGGTCTTCTTCGGGTCGGCATCAATATGGCCGTGTTTAGCGAAGTAGCGGGGTAGATGTGCTTCGGGAGCAGCGGTGCCATCAGCTATGCCAGCATGGTCACGGTCATTGAGCTTGTGAGAGCGGGTCACTGGTGAAGAAGTACGCTTGGGTTAGCAACTGACAGCCCCCTCAATTGCACCAGGGTTGGGTATAGAAAGAGGATAGATATATGCTGTTGGGGATGACAGGTTGAGCTAAAAGGCGGATGAATGGAGAACCCGTAATGATTCCGGTAAAGCAATGAATAACATTGGCAGACTTACTTGTGGAGGATGGAAATCAATGAATTGCAAACGACAAGGCTTTCTTGAAGCAGACAAGGACTGCAGTGATGGGAATGGAAGGTCGGTTGTTGAAATGGAACAAAGCAGTGGATGAAAAAGTAGGCCTCAAAGAGTAGCAAGGATAGGTAGAGAGAAGTTTAAGAAGAGGAGGATTTATAGTGAGCGACAGTGGTGACTGACTATCTTCACTCTGCTTTCAAAGAAACAAATTTCGTAGATGAGAATGGGAATAAAATCGTTGCAGAGCGACGATGGATCAAGATAGAGGGGGAGTTTGGAAGATCAATGCAGAGAGAGATGGATGAACAAGGAGGAGATTAGGCACCTGAGGTAGCTGTGGGAGGAGAGGAGGAGAAGAAGAAGAGAAGAGGGAGTGGTTGAGAGCTGAGTCTAGCAGAAGTTAGGTTCCCAGAGGTTCGATCTACGGTAGTTAACTAGCACGTAATAATTAATAGCTGTTTGGCCGATGGGTAAGGAGGAGATTGTTTGAGAGCATTAATCGCAGGTACATGTACATGCCATGCACTGTACTTATTATAGGTATCTCAAAGGCGAGCGGAAGGGGAGGGGGTACTTGCAAACACATATGATGTAATGGCGTTACAGCCGACAGGTCATAATAAACGCCATCAGCACATGACCCCCAGGAACAGCGGCTATACCCTTCCAATTATTATTATTGAATGTTTGCTTTCCATGTTTCGTCGGGTCTGGGCCGGCATCTTACGACTCATAAATAATGCGCTTTGCCGCCCAGGTGAGGTGGAAAGGACCGAATTCCGGGACTCCTACCCTAAACATATTTGAAACACCCTTGATTAAACTAAGAGGCAAATTAATTGTAAGTGCCTACACAGTCCACTGCCTATCCTGGTCGGCTTCTGCTCTCTAAAAACAATGTATACATGTACATGTAATGTACCTCTTGTGACGTACCTGTGTCGCACGCTACCTACCCCCTTGCTTCTTGGGAGAAGTTGCACCTGACCATGGGTGGGGTTGCTTGGCTTGGCAATGGCAATGGTTGGACCCCGGGTTGCTCTCCAGAGTCTCCACTTGAAGTTGCTGCTGCTGCCACTAACTAGAAGCAGTTAGACAAGCGGGCTAGCTACCTAGCCACAATCAATCAAGCCACGTTGAAGTACACAGTAACTTTTACAGTACGGGAGTAGCTCGAACGGATTTTCTATGCCAAGTTCTTCTACGCAGCACAGTAAACACGCACTGGAAACTAAAAACCACTTGCTCAAGGCAGATGCACCGCCTGCAATTAGGTTCCCGGAAACCATGCCCACCAGGATTCTGAACTGGGCAACGGACCTGAGCTCCGTGCTGGGCGCCAGCATCATGCTCGTCTCTTTCATCGCACCCAGCAGTCAAAAACAACTCCAAACCTAGGTCAGAAGAGACCGCCTCGCACAACAACAAGACGGATGGTGACGATGATGGGGATAATCGGAAGGCTCTGGTGGCCTTAAACGAATCTGCGATAACCAATGTCCAACGCGAGTTTCAGAACACTGCTCAATGGGCAAATCTCAGCACACAGTTTACAAGGTGGGGGGCCACCTCTATCCTTCAAGGAGGCGCAGACTGTTGCAGACTCGTAGTCTCAGGAGTCAAGAATGTACGATGCTCTGTGGTTCCTCCTCTTGCCAGCCCGTACATTCTTTCTCCCATTAAGGTCACCACCCACCCAAGAACTAACCTAATTTCGAAGGTCGTGGAAGCACTCCTCGGAAACAACCCCCTTATCAACATATGTTAGCAATTCCACAAGGTCAGCCAGAGATCCTACAACCACTGGCGCCTGAAGTCATTGCACTTTTGCAGCAGTACTCTTACCAAGGGTGCAAGCTAACTGGCCATGGCATCTACTCTACCTTAAACGGCGCCTTGAAGAGCGGGAAAGGTGCTTTGGTGCAGCTTGATGAACATCTCATTGTGAGGCTTGGATCTAATATATCTTTAACTGATACAAACATAACTGCCCCAATCCGAAAGCATGCTGCGGACATTCCAGTTCCCCAGCCTCTTGACATGCTCTGTCTTGGCGGAAAGGTCTATGCATTCATGAACCCCATTGAGGGCCGTTACCTGGACAAACTTTGGCCAGATCTCTCAAGTACTGATAGATTCTCTATCCAAGACCAATTGGATGCCAGATTTGAGAATCTCCGGTCACTACCTTTACCATCTAAATATCTGGGTGGTGGCAATCCACCACAGTGCATTGACTGCAGAATGTGGAAGCGCAAGAGTTGCTTCTCTCTGGGAATAGCCGATCTAGCACGGAACCATATGTTGAGTTCATCAGACCCATGCTTCCTGAGAATCAACGTGTTGATCCTTACTCATGGTGACCTGCACCCTCGCAATATCCTGGCTATTAATGATGAGGAAAGAGGAGGGATTCGGATAACTGGCCTGATAGACTGGGAGGTTGGCGGTGCATATCCAGAGTACTGGGAGTTTGTCAAGTCTCTTAACACTGTTCACTCAATACGCTTGGGTGATTGGCCCTTCTTCCTGCCTCTGAAGGCGATGGGGAAATAGTTTGAAGATATGTTATTGGTTGCTTGATTGACAATTGTGTGGCATAACTGACAACATTTCTTACTCCTGCACCTAAAAAGAACTTAACTTCTATGACACCCCACCTGACCATTTCTTATCGCCCCCCCTCCTATTGCCCATTCACCCTTGATCTCTCCGAAGATACTCCTCAACTCAGACCCTCCGCTCGTATTTGTTGGAGGCTTTCAGCACAACACTCGCCGTCTAGGCCTCGTACTCATCCTCAACCCGGACTCCAAACAGCGGGTCCAGCTTGAGCTTAGCCTCATCATGGTCATAGTCAGTAAGAAGATCATCTTCAACCAAGCTCTCCAACACATCCAGGACCCACTGCTGGCAACCCCAGTGGTACATTTCATTCTCGATCTTTTGGTCCCTGACTAGTTGGCAAAAGTGATCAACATGATCGATCTCCGCGACTCGGATGTTCTCTATATGGTGGGTACTATCTTCAAGAGGCTCAGAGCGCTCGTCGTATTTGAAGTCGCACGGCTCACCGACGATTTGGAATATGATGTGCTCTGTTGAGCTAATTTGGAGATACAGGGCCCAGTGATAGGTTCCCAAGATCTGGTTCCGGGGCTGATAGATGGCGATGAAAAGCTCGGCCATTTTCTTTTCCAGTTTCTTCCTTTCCTTTATTATTAAAAAATGTTCCGGGCCCAACAGCGCAGGGGTAGGAGAGGTCAAATAAGATCTTCTAAGAAGAATATTAGCTTCACCCAGCAAATATCATTAGCTAAATGGGCTTTCAGCTCGATAGTTTTGGGTAGATTCAGCCTCGTCGTTGAAAATCTAGTGGGGTCATCGGATGGCCAGGAGCGTAGGAGGGGAGGCGGAAGATCATAGCATCCTCCGGTAGGGAGAAGCTCCTTTATGTCCAGCAGCGATAGGCTAGTCTTGGGTAATTGGCCAAATGCCACACTTGATGCCTCTTCTTAGCCTATGTGCTTTGCATGAAGTTTGATTCGTATGAATGAAGAATGCGCTATCCAGATGCGTGGTTCCACCGAGCGATTATTTGTCACTGCAGGCGCCTCGATCGTTGCCGGATATCCTTTCCAGTTGGCGCCTGGGCCAATGGGATATGGCAGATATCAAATTACTTGGAGCATGGCTGTTTGCAGATTATTGTAGCTAGCTTGACCGCTGTCTCTCTGCGATGTCTGCGAGCCTGCAACTGTTATTGGGTGTTATCCACTATCCTGATTCTAACCAATTTGTTCTCGTTTTAGAGCGGATGCACGTAGATAAATATATACAGTTGACATTTTGATTATTCTCTCTTTGGTTGAAAGGAGAGTAGCGGAGTTAATGAGCTTGACTAGCAGAACAGTAGTTAGAGGCCGCAGAAGAGTGTGAACGACTTAATGTAGCACACAATAGAGTATATACCTACCCTATATAAAGTAAACCCAACCGGAAATAATCTACTCGTCGTCAGAGCAGGGAACAGGTCGAGTTTTTTTTTAAAACAATTCAATAATTAACATGTAGGAGGTGCCGAGTTCCACCTACATACCTGGGAGTACTTAATTCCGCGCGTGTGGCAATGCCGGAATCCAGGTACTGTACAGGTAACCCCGCCAATGGCGCCATCAATCTGTGGGCGAGAGGCGGGGGATTGAGAGGGGCGAATAGAAATTCCTGTTATGTAAAAAACTCTTCATGGTTAGTTAGTATTACTATGATTACTACTACTATTATGTTTTTATTTCTTTTCTGACAAATAATAGATAAATTACTATATTTAATAGTAACCTCCCCGCAACATCAACAAAACTCAAAACCACGACAGTGAAGAAAAGCAAGAAGACAGAGAGCGAGAGAGAGAAAGAGAGAGAGAGAGAGAGAGAGAGAGAGAGAGAGAGAAACTCCTTGCATTCTTCCCTCCCATCACATTTTCATAGCGGCCCCCGCCGTTCAGAAATCAGAAACAGAAAAAAAATCATGGCGTCCACGGGACGAGTCCTCCTCCTCTCGCCACCCTCCCTCTCCTCGCATCCCGAAAAGCTAAACGCGATCCTCGGATCGCATACACGGGACAGGACAGACCTGCAGATGCTCGACCGGCTCGTCCACGGCCTCGTCTCCCTCCCCGCATCCACCTACGACATCGTCCTGCTCCTCACCGGCGCAGACAACACGCTCGCGGAACCGTACAGCCTCGTCACCCGAGACATTATCCAGCAGGTTGTTCACAGCCTGAAGCCCGCGGGGAAGCTGAGGAGTCAGGATAATAAGGCGTGGGGATTACGGAGCAGTGGGAATAATAGTGATGATGATAATGATAATGATGAGCTGACATTCAGGAACGAGGCGATATTGGCGGGGTTAGTATTTGATGATAACGGGGAGCTGCTGAAGCCTGATGTCGCGGCGCAGCAGGCTGTTCCGCTGAAGCTGGGGAGGAGGAAGAAGGAGAAGGAGAGGCGCCATCCGTCAGGGAATGATGTTACGAATGGGAAGGTGAACGCACCGTCTTCAAATGGTGTAAACGCATCCACGTCCACAGCTACAGCTACAGCTACAACGACCACGACCACGACCCCAAAAACAAACCCAGCTCCCTCCGGAGTCGGATTTATAGATTTCAGCGATGACTACGGCGTGCCGATGGAAGAGGATCCCCAGGGTTCCGATGACGAGCTAATCGACGAAGACGAACTGCTTGGCGAAGATGACATGGGAAGACCAATCGTCCAACGTGAGTTTGAATAGTCCATTCCTTTCCATTCCCATTCCCATTCCCATTCCCATTTCACAACCAACCACCACGACACACCACTATTCCATCAAACTAACCCCCACACCACCCACCACACAGCCCCTGAATGCCGCCCCAAACCCGGAAAACGCCGACGAGCCTGCAAAGACTGCTCCTGCGGCCTCTCCCAAAAGCTTGAAGCAGAAGACAAAGCCAAGCGCGCCACCGCCGACAAGGCGCTGGAGACTATCATGGCGCCGACGATGAAGCTGGGCTCGAGCGAGCTGGCGGAGGTAGACTTTACCGTGCAGGGGAAAGTGGGCAGCTGCGGGAATTGCTCGCTGGGCGATGCATTCCGGTGCGATGGGTGTCCGTATATTGGCCTGCCGGCATTTAAGCCGGGGGAGGAGGTGAGGTTGTTGAATAATGATGTGCAGCTGTGAATGAGAGGGGGATATACTCTCTTTTTTATCTCCCCATGCCATATTTTGCTACATTGAGCAAATGTGCGTTACCTTGCCTGCCCCTCATGGTGAGCTGAGGGGGGTGAATGAATGATATGTTTCATAGCGGGGTGAGAAATATCCCCCCCCCCTGGGGGGTGGTTCATTTGAATAGATCGGAAAATAATTCCACTCAATATTCTTCTCTACAGCAAATAATGCCTGTATTAACATGTTAATGTGTTAACACATATGTTATACAAATCCTCTTATGTGCACTGCTGTATGCTTACTCTGAACAACATAATGGTCATCTAGGCTCAGTTGTGATATTTTTGAATCAATGAACTAGTACTCATTTATTCATTCCCCTTTTTAGGATGGGTATATAGTAAACAATGGTGGACAACTCCTTACCGGAAAAACGTAGGCTTATTATACAACCGGGTTATGGTTGTTCCGCTGTGCCAGTCGCCGACACTGTCACCGAACTAGACTGACCGTGTGACCGTGTCTGAGACCAGGACCAGATTTTTTGATAGTCTCATTACCAATTTGACTGATCCCATTACACGGTTTTAACATTAGATAGTAGTCCCATACTGTCCCAGTGGGACTTAGTGTCTACTCTTGTCACATTTTCCAAATGGGACCATGATTTCCACTTCTCAATTTAAATTATTTTTATGGCTTTAAATGACTTTAAATCTCATTTGAGTGTTACCAAAAAGTGTTACTTTTTAAAAAATTAAAAATAGTCTAAAAAAAACCTTAAAATGTCTAAAAATAGTAACTTTATGCCAAGAATGGGACTAAATGGGATCAAATGGAACCACTTTCTCATTTTTTTCAAGTCATGGTTTCATTTTAAGATCTGATATATAGTCACTTTACATGTTTTTTTGATAGCCAGTCCCAGCGGGATTCACGCCAAGAAATGTATGAGACCAGATCAAATGGGACCAAACATGAAATTCATGGTCCCGGCGGCCAGTCTACACTGAACTGTAAAATATAATATAATGATGGATTAGCTGTGGAATCACTGTAAATGAGTTATGAACAGAACAAAATCATCATTATATTGATAATATCATCAATTCCTATCTACATAATCACTAATTCTAAAAAATATCTCATTCACTGAAATCATTCTCTATTGAAAATCTGTCATATTTCTCTGTAATTTCTTCTGAATTCTCTGAATCATCTCTATATTATTATTATTATTTCCTGTCATATTCATATTAACATTTATTTCAGATAACTTGTGAATTGATATTGAAGTTTATAAAGAATCAGTATCAATAATTATTCACTATTTAAGAGAGAGAGTTTCAGAGAAATCAGAAGCTGTGTATTTACTCATCTATATTATTATCAACTTCTGTATAAATCTGAGAATTATTTTACTGATTCTAACTTACTTTTTTATCAAGAATGTTGAGAGTTTCAGTACTGCTTATAGTCAGAGAATCAACTGAAGTTAGAAGATTAAAGAAGAAAGAAAGAAAAGAATTAACAGCAGCAGTAAAGATATTAGTAAGAGAGATAAGAAGAGAATTATTACTATTATTAAATTTCTTATCACTGCTACTACTGTCACTGACTATAACTGAATTCTTATCAAGATAATCTATAAGTCTTTGAATATACTTCATTATTTCATACATTTCAATGATAATATAGCTAGCTTTGATATTGATATTATTTATTAAATTTATAAGATTCTTCATCACTGATTTTTATTCTTTAATATAATTAACTATTATTCTCAAAAGCTTATAATATACTTCAAGCTTGATAGTTTTAATATCAAGTTTTATCTTTTTAATTGTGATTTTCTTCTTTTCTGTAGTAACTTTTTTCTTTTTAATTTCTAATTTCACTCTTTCAATATTCAACTTAATCTTTTTAATCTTAATTTTAGCTTTTTCAGTAGTACTGATAATAATATTCAGAGCTTTTAGAGTAATAGTAACACTCTTTATATATTAAGCTTTTACTTTCTATCAGTGAGTTTTAACTTTCTTAATCTATTTTAAAAGATTCTTCACTGATTTCAATATAGTCTTCTTTATTATTTTCTTAAAATTATCTGATATAGAAAGATAAAAGTTGTGAATTTAAATCAGATTATTAACTTATTCTTTTAATTCTTCAGAGATAATTATATATCTCTTTTTCTTATAATTATAATTTATACAAGGCTTTAAGCTTCTCTTCATCTTATTATAAACAGCATTTAAATGATGAAAAAAAATATACTTAATACAGTACTTATATATTATTTATTTACTAAGCTGCTTTATCAGAGTATTCAGACAGCTGCTTACTTTCTTCTCTTAAGTCTTTACAGCAGTAGTATAGATATACTTGAAAGTGTTACTTATTATTTTAATACTGCTGCTGTTATTATTATTACTGTAATTAATACTGCTATTGTTATTATTACTGTGATTGATACTGATATAATAAATTACTGATATTCTTAGTATACTATACAGATAAAATATCTTGATTAGAACTTTTCTGATTAAAAGCTTTCTATTATAACTAGCAGAATACTAACTGAGCTGAGAAATGAAGAAGAACAGAGTGAGCTGAGTAAGTTGAAAATAATCTTTATAATATATTATTGTTACAAGAAGAAGAAAGAAGAAAAGAAGGAAAAGAAAAATATAAGTCTTTATATATATTGTTAATTCATCTTTACAGATTATCATGCAATGAATGCAAATGCTTTTATATTTCATTTCTGAGTGTAATTAACATATCTGACAGATTTCATTCATATCTTAATACTTTTTACACAGGCTATTACTGATTGAATTACAGCTATTTTAAATATAAAATCATTTCTATTAACTAGGAACAAGTGTTCAATACACTGTTAGAAATATATTTACAGAATTCAAGATTTTCTGATGCAGTGAAATCAGTGAATTCTTCACAGTCATAACTATATAAATTACAAGATAGAGAATATGATAACTTATTATTATTATTATTATTATTATTCTTTCATTATACTCATATGCAAGTGAAGCTTATAATGAGTTCTTGTGTGATGTTAAATACAGATCAAGTGTTGATTATACAGAAGAAAATACAGGTGTTGAGACTATGCCAAGATAACAAGAACATAGAAAAATACAAAGAAGTGACAATTAAATACATGCAATAATAACTTCCCAGCTCAGAAACATAGAGCAATTCATTGAAGTGATTTGTACACCTCTGTATTTATTAGAAACCTGAGGTGCTTGAGTTCCGGATTTAATGTATCCCCTGCGGGTTTCAAACCCACGCGCCTTGGTTTCCCACGCCAAGGTGCTACCAGGTGGCCGCATTAACCATTCAGCCACCGGGGCTTATGACAACTTTCTTCAGTGAATATCAAGACAGATATATTCTAATTATGTGTATTAAAGTATATATTAACTAATTTATATATAAAACTCATAGAAAACTAAATATATTGAAATATAAATAGATTGTGTTAAAAATCTCTACATCACTGATCTGTCTTTTACTGAAAATATTTCTGAAAATTTAATCTTTTTCTACATCTTTTCTCACACATCTTTTATCAGATGTCTCTTTTTTACTGTCAGAGTATTCTGAATTATCTCAGCAAAGTCATCTCTGATAATTTACTGATATTCAGAAATATCACTTATCAGATCTCAGAATGTCAGAATATTTTATCATTATAGTATAGCTGCAGTGAAATTTTCATTTATATCAGTATTATTAAATATTTTAACCTGAGTTATAAGATTGATATATATCTTTATTTTTCAGAATCAGTTTCTAGTTTTTCAATCTGAAGTTTTCAATTCAATATCTTTAATTATACAGATTCTCAACCGCTCCATCACAAACTCGCTCGATTTTTCGAACAAGAACCCGCCAATAGATTCATTGAAAAGCCCTCAATCATACAAGCATTTTGACCCCATCGCCGACCGCATACCCCGTGTGGTGGTGGAGTTATCCAGCCAAACGCGAACCAGATGTCGTTCGGAACTCCTGCATGGGATTATCCCCCCATTCTCCCCTACCACACCACAACCCCGGGCCAAATCACCATACAAATTGTAAGGTGAAGAGACCTAGCTGTATGCACCAATCTTCTCGATTTTGGAAGATTCCTGATCTGTAGTTGTGGAGATATCTGAGGAGTGACCTTTGCGAAAACCCTGTCCATCTTTGATGTTCCAAAACATCAACACCAAGTCCCACCCTTGTACCGCCCTTCTCAATCTGGCCCATCCCCAGTAGAAAAATACAAAAAGATACCTCAGTGATAATATTAAGCACATAATCAATGAACAATAAGTCAACAGCACATCAACAACTATAAAATCAGTATATTTCAAGATCTGACTGAGTCTTTGATCTCTGCACAGTGAGATATATTAAATCTAGTTTTAATATCTCAATATTCAATAGATTCTGCAAGAGATTGAGAACAGCAACACTAGATTTCTATTGAATTTGAGAATTAACTCTATATTAATATAATCATTGACAAAGTCTTCTATTTTGAGATATAAATAACCAGTTCCTCTACATCCTGCTGACAATATTTATATTATTATATAGAAACAGACTTATATTCTCTATAATATCAAGACTCTGAAGAGGAAAAGTCTTGATAGAGAGTATACAGTAGTGCATATCTTAGCAGTTTCTATCTCATTCTTCTACAGCAGTTAATGCAAAAAAAAAAGATCTTAGAAATAGTTTTTTACTTCTCTTGAAAAAGTAAGATGTTTTTCTCTGAGTTTTACACAATATTCTTATAAAGAATTAAAAACAGAGTTATTTTCTATTATAATTTCATATTCTTTTAAGTAAGAATTACTTTTTCAGTAGCTGAAGAGCTTTTATTAATACTTAATTCTTTTTTATACTCTTTATTAACTGATTTGAGTTGCACACTTGTTGTGTGAGGAGAATTGAATGATTTAGAATAAAATTGAATAGTTTTA